TGAAGTCTTATCTATTTAAAGGGGTAGTTTTGAACACACATAAAATGGAAGAAACTCTCCTAAGATTCACACTTTTATAAGAAGTATAGATCTTCTAAATTTTCTTTTTCTTTTTCTTTTTTGGTTCTGCAAATATTTATTTATTGGTCTTTCAACAACAAACAAGAGAAATTTAATTAATGTGCACATTACAAATAAGCCCCTCAAGGGATATTCATAAACGGGTTCTGACAAAAAAACTATTTTACATAAAAGTCCATACATTGTTCAAATGTGTGTAAAAAACTAAAATACCCCTCACATTTTAATATGCTCCAATTTCATAATTAAATTTAATTTAACCTCAATTTGACCCCAAATTTCACAAATTATTTAATTTTGACCCAAAACTCAATTTTGAGTACAATTTCGTCCGTCGTCGCCATTGACAGCCGATCTCCGGCGTTTACTTTTTTTTTTTCCTGCTTCTACCGCCGTTGACCGGCCGTCAAGTCATATTAACTATATTAGTGATAAACACTGTAATACTAACTATACTACAATTTCACACAATAATATTGATATATTAGTCTCTAGCTCAGTAATATTAACACAACAAAAGTGATTATTATTGTGTAATAGAGTAATATTAATATGTTGACCGTTCAACAAAGGCAAACATAATATTGATGTGGTTGACTGTAATATTTCTGTCATGCAGAGTAATATTACTATAACAACAGTAATATTAATGTCATCCAGAATAATATTATTGTGTTTATTGTAATATTACAATAGTAGACAATAATATTATTACGTTAACCCGTCAACAACTCAAACAAAAAAAATATTGATGTGGTTAACAATAATGTTATTGTGTTTACAGTAATTTTCCCGTCAACGACAGTAATGTAATTACGTTGACTTGTCAGCAAATCAAAAAAAATAAAAAGAAGCCAAAAGAAGTAATAATATTGCCGTTGACAGTAATTGTACTGCTAAGGACAGTACAATTACATAAATATATTGTCAACGACAGTACAATTATTGTTACCAACAGTATAATTATTGTTAATGACAGTACAATTACGATCAACGTTCAGCGACTAGCGTAAAAAAAATGGACAAAAATTTTAGGGCAAAAAATGTCAACGCAGGAAACCGGCGACGGAAAAAGCAGACAAAAAAAAAAATCAACGCCAGAGACCGGCGCCATAAAAAGATTTTGAGAAAAAAAAAGTCAAAATTAGATTTTTGTCGTCAAAATTGATTAAATTGGGGTTGCATTTAAGAATTGAGTGTAAATGGTTGGGGGTACTTTTGTCATATACACTAATTTTTCCTTTATTTATAATACACTAGCATTTTTTCCCGATGCACGGGATAACATTTCAAAAGTGAAAATAAGGATTAGTTTAATATATGACAATAGCAATTAATAGAATTTATTAGTGATATCGGTAACAACATTAATATTCATACAAATTTAATGATACAAACTATTTTCGAAAACAAATATATAAACTTAATTGTCATCATATGAAATTGATCATTAAATAAATGAAGGAAAGAAGAATTAGAGAAAATAGACTGGAAAATAGGAGATAAACATAATAATGACAAATAAAAAATATAGTGTTGTGGATCAGGACTATGCTAGTCGAGATTTGGTGTGAAATAATTAGAGAAAAAAAGTGATTGCGAAATATGAGGTATATATATATATATATATATATATATATATATATATATATATATATATATATATATATATATATATATATATATATATATATATATATATATATATATATATAGATACTCACACACGCATT